CATGAGCACAGCATATTTTGTTTGGGTTCAAGGTGCGTGCGTGTGTAATGTGTGTGTGTGGTTAACAAACACGTACACACAAGCATGTACACGGGAAGGAGGGGAAAGATCTCTAATAATCTCTATTTTTTTTTTTGTTCTAAAAAAAAAAGCCACTTTACAAGAAATCGCTGCAAAGACTAGAGAGAAAATAAAACAATTTAACAGTTTTTAAAGAGTTGCATTCTTAATTGAGAAAAGAGGGTGCCAGGATTATTCTCTTTCCCCAATAAACAGTTTTATTCAGTATTAGGGCCTGCAGAATCTGGATGCAAAGGGGAAAAGTATGATCCGGACTTGTGTCCAGGCAGAAACCCGGCTTCTGTCGAGGGGAACAACTTTTCCTGGGTTCACGCAGCAATGGCAATCTGCTGTCGACCCACAATTGCCAGAAATCGATGGCTTAAGAATTTCCTTGCCTGAGCAAGCTTGCTCCTAAACCCCCTTTTTTTTGTCCTCTGCACCCAGATCTCTCCACAGTATGGATGATTTTGAAAAGGGGAAGGAAAAAAAAAAAAAACGATTGAAAAGCAAAAAACCTGCACATGTACAGAAAGAAACTGGGAAAGTTTCACCTTCTCACCCTTTTAAAGCAACAGAGATTCCTCCGGAGAAGGAACACCTGTTTGCAACTAACCCTTTGGGCCTTTGAGAAGAGTGTGTGAACCGCACCAGTTGGTTCGCACCACCATGCTGAGAAGTCTCCAAAAGAATAACCCCTTGTCCTCCACTTGCTTTCTCCTTGTAATAGAGGCAAGGTGGTTTATTTGGTTTTCCTTTTTTTCCTTTTTTTTTGTGTGTGTGACAGGACCAGGATAATTTAAAAGGGGACCAGCCTGCCCTTTGAAAAAGAAGTCGTGGAACAGTGCCTTATGTACTGTTTCTCATGCCTTCCCCCCCCCCCCCGCGTTCCCTTTGACCCTGTAGATTAATTTAATGAAGGGTGCATTTTCAACCACACCCACTCATGGCAAGGCAGGACAGAGAATATATTAGCAGCTTCCACCCGTTTTTCAGCCGCTGCAATGATAATGCCTTTTAAACTATGATGGATACACACTAAATGCTATTTTGCATTAAAAAAACAACGCTTCTCCATCCTTCCCTTCTGCCTTTTAAAAATAAGCTGTCTCTAAAGGCTGTAACTTGCTTGTGCTGAATTTTTTTTTCCTTCTATCCGACTTTATTTTATTTTGTGTCTTCGGAGATCGTTCCTTTTATATTTTGCAGAGGTCCCTGAAATAATATCCAAAGAAGAAGAAGAAATAGCACAGCAAGGCAGTCTTGGTCTCTCTTGCTTCCCTTTCTCTTTTTAAGCTTCATTATTATTATTTTTTACACTGAACAAACGATCACAATGTTATTTCCTTAAGTTCATTTTTTTAAATGCTTGTTGTTTCCTTTTTTTTTTAAAGCATTGATGCCTGTCTCACTTGCTTGTCTTAATTTGAGGGTGGGGTTGCCTTTTTCTTTTAGATGAACTGTCTTTTAAACATTGAGGTAACAATTGAAATTTTGAAAAGACCTGGGGAGTCTGTGCCCAGTTTGGAAAGCAGAAACAAAACAAAAAAAACCTTGCTCTTACCTCAGTTTTAAATATGGAGGCGCTGACATTGTCTCTGTATATTAAAGTATCGGTGGGTAGCCACCCCTATTTTCAGGGGTTTTATAAGCTGCCAGGGAAGGAGCTTTGGCTAGCAGAAAGCGCCTCTAGGATTTGGAATGAATTTCATTTACCGTTTTAATGTTTTGGGGAAGGGAATGAAAGATCTGCATGTTATGGACTCCACAAAGAATAGCAATGAATGGCTGTATATATTCATCTTTATCCGAAATATAGCAATACCATTGGCTTTTGAAGTAGAATATTGCAGGACAGTCCTTTTTGTTTTGAACTAGTGCCTTTTAAGAATTGCTTCCTTCCATCCTTCTTTCCTTCCCTCCTTCTCTTCTTTCTTTCTCTCCCCCCTCTCATTTCCTTTCTTTCTTTCTTTCTTTCTTTTCTTTCTTATCTTTCTTTCTTACTTACTTACTTACTTACTTACTTAACTCTCCTGGAGGTGAGGCATTTTATAATTCTTTGGTGAAAAATTTGGAAGCAAATTTAATGCGGGGACAGACCGGGGCAAAAACGTACTTTAGAGAGTTGACGGTTGGTTCCATAGAGGTTGGCATTTGATTTGAGGGCATGGCGTCTTGAATTCGGGGATCAGTCCCTCGAAAAGGCGGTTGGGAGGTGAACGTGAGCAGTCAGAAAGTCCCCTTGCCTTGGGACTCGTGACCAAAAGGTTTGGGGCAGTGAGCAAGGACAGGTGACAACCACACCTCCCACCTGGGCTGGTGCCTCTAGTAAGAACCTGCAGATCTTCAGTCCTGTTTGCAGTCAGCTGTATGGGTGCTCTTTAATATTTTAAGGCTTTTCTCTCCCCCCCCCCTTCCCAGTCTTAGAATAAGAGATGTTTCTAAGAGGTTCACTG